ATCATTCAAAATCAAGTTGTAATGTTGACACTATGTCACTTTCTGAAAATACAGGACTGTGCAATAGGTAAGCACAAGTAAGTAGTGATCCAAATATGACTTCTGTGTGCATCGTAAGATCTGCTGGGACAACTGACCCCTTTGTCAAAATGAAATACATTAAAAAGACATGATCTATTTTGGCATTTTCCTTCAGGGTGGGTGAAGTGGAGTATTTCGATTCTATGCCTTTTCATTGATTTGCAAAAATTTAATTTTAATTTTGACTCACTTCTCACATGCCAAAATACTTTCAAATCAAAATATAAATTCAAATCAAAATAAGTGTACCATGTAGTACACTTGAGGCACTAAAAAAATGTTTAGGTTCTACACAGGCTTCTAACCATCAAAGTATGTAATGATGCCATGCTCATTGGTGAGTTGTGAATAGCTCATTTGCCTTTATCCATACCTTCGGTGGTTAGGCTGGAAGTAGGAACAGCAAATGTGAAAGCAATTGTGGATGTGGTGCTTGAGATTCTAGGTTTTGTAGCTGATGTTGCAACATTCGTTGTTGTAGATGAAGCATCTTGAGTCACCTCTCCAGGCTTGATGTCACATGTCTTATCTTTAGACTGTAGCAGAGAGAAAAGTAATTCAACTCCAGCAAAATGCAGAATCCAATTCTCTAGAGAAACAATGACTCACAGAGAAGCAGTAGGCAGCATTATTAAGTTTGTGAAAGTACGACTGGAGGCACTGTCAGGACACAACATTTATCATAAAACCCTGATGTTCATAACTGTCTGATAAGATTACATAAAGATCATCTTAAGACTGAAAACCATTCATCCTTTTGCTCCAATGCCATTAAGTATTTAGTAATGTTACAACCAATGGTTTTCATGAGCATGGTTTAATGAGGTGGAGAATGCAATGGAATTCTGTTACAATTTTATTTTTGTTTTATTATACATCTGAACTTTCTTTCAGATAATGCACTAATGTACCTCATCAGGACAGCTGTTATCAACCCAATCCTGCCGATGCCGATCAAATCCACTGGAACACCTACATGCAGAGAAACAGTGAAGCAAAATTAATTTTAAATTTCCATTTTTATAAAAAATCATGTACGCATTAGAAAACAACTAATATAACATCTTTCCGCTAATATTTGCTAATGTGTTTTTATTGAATGGTTCACACATGCACACTGAGATAGGATATTGAAGACTCTCCATTTCTGGCAGCCAATCCCAGATCACATGTAGGTGAGAACAGGGATACGGAATTAGTTTAAGTCATTAATATGAGCAAAGTTGGGAGTTTTCCAGTTGCAGCATCAATCTCCAGATGGCCGAAAAAAAGCATTCCAGGCAATTTTAAACTGCAACGTTACTGGTAAAGACAGCAGGCATGCAGACCAAACTTACCCAAGGCAGACTTTTCATGTCTCTTATGTGTTTGTTTCATGTGAACCATCTTTAAGCCAGGCAACAGTCACTGTGTGTGAGAGGCTTTCACCCTGTGTTTGTGCAATTGATTGCTCAGAGACTCCAACTCATCACTGATTGGACATGGCTGCTTTATGTGGCAAGTACAACACTGCAGATACTTTCTAATCAACCAGTTCAGAGATGTTTTTATGCCAGGATTTGAACCCAGGCCTCCAGTCCAGAGTTAGGGACACTGCCACTATGCCACAAGTGCTCAAAGTGCAACATCATAGTGCTGCAGTTCTGATTAGTTACAGTAGATCCAGCCCAGGAGTTTGAAATAATGATCCTGGGCAGCTGGAGTTGGGAAGTTTACAGATGTGTCTGGGACCCTCCTTTACCCAGATAGCTTAGAACCAGGGGGTGGGATGGTTGCTTGACTGCATAATAATGTGCTCATTGTGTGTTGACTTCTGTAGGCAGTGAGTTATTTTGAGTGTTCTAGGTAGTCACTGTGGAGATTTGAAACAGCTGTAAGCAAGTGACAATTGATGTGTTTAAACTTTGCAACTAACTAGCATTTTCACTACATCCTAAAACAATGGTAGAATTGCAAACTAGTACATTTATCTTAATAGGTTTGTGATGGTGTCTACTTTGTTGAAATGTCAAAGTACTTGTGTTTTTCCCAGGTTTTCAAGCTATGCCTTGGGTGCTTACGCCCCTTTAATTAAAGCTCTTAAGAACGGCAGATGCTGGAGCCAGAGATAACACAGTGTGGAGCTGGAGGAATACAGCAGGCCAGGTAGCATCAGAGGAGCAGGAAAGTTAATGTTTCGGGTCAGGAATTTTCTGAAGAAGGGTCCCAGCCCGAAATGTCAATTTTCCTGCTCCTCTGATGTTGCCTGGCCTGCTGTGTCCCTCCAGCTCCAGACTGTGTTAGCCCTTAAGTTTTTTTGAACTGCTAATCTCGGTAGATTTTAATCTAGGCAGTAAAGTCCTAAAAAAAATTTTTGTAATTGTTTACCATAACCCGAAGGAGTTCAAATTAAATAAATTCAGTGCAGTTGAGTTATCATTTTTCTATAGTTGCTATCCTAGTCATTATTAGTCTTCATTGCTTAAGTTTTGAAATTGTGGTCCCTGATGCACTCACTCCATTTCCCCAGGCTTTCTCTGATTTTACTTCCAGCGACCTCTCCTAGAATACATGCAGCCACATTTGGCAATTCAGCAGAGTGAAATAGTAGCCAATTTTGCATTCAGCCCAATTTTATAAGCAAAAACCAAAAGAGCTGTGGTAGGGTCACTAGACCCGAAACATTAACTCTGATTTTTTTCTTCACAGATGCTGCCAGACCTGCTGAGCTTTTCCAGCAACTTCTGTTTTTGTTCCCAGTTCCATAAGTTGCGGTTTAAGTGGGATGTCAATAAATTATGCAGCATTTTCTGTTGCTTGTGCAGACAAATTGAAACCCCTTAAGATTGAATAAAGCTCTTTCTAGATTATTCCAAAATGGTACCTTTATATTTGTTTATTCTGAAAAGGAATGCTAATTTTATGCCAGTATAAGGATTGTTTTGTTTTGTGCATGTTTGTCAATTAAAGACAAAGTTGATATTGTTTTGACCCTACTGTACACAAGAGACTCATAGTTAGCATAACAAAGATATTTTCATTGATTAGGTTGCATTGAATTTGCAATGCTGTTCCCAGAGGTGAAAAGATACTAATTTAGAAATTCCAGTTCATTGTACAGGCAATTAATTCACGATTTTAACATTGGCGTTAATGACAGATAAAGGAAAATCATGTGAACATGGCCAGTGTTTCTCAGTGGTCACAGTCAGGATCTATTCAAGTGCATCATTCAACTCCTGAATGACCTTTTGAAATCAATATCGGCAATGGAAATAGAATCAGAGACTCATGGTCAATAGAATATATTGTAAAGTATGCCACAAACCAATTTAATTGTCAAATAAATCTTACTGATTATTGTAAAAGAATTTCAAAAACGATAGCAAATTTCTGCAGGAGTCATCCTGCTTGTTTGCTACTTCAGGAGAACAGCTATTGAAACTATAAAATAATGACACAACAGACATTGGTACTGCTTCCTTTAAGGTTTCTGGGGATCGTTCATTACATTACAGTGATCAATCGCGAGAAACCCCTTGCAAATTCACTCTTAGTGTTATTTAATGCTTTCCCTTAAAACTTGTCTATGTACTGGTAAATTAGATCTGTTCAGTTGCAAAATCTATTTCACATGATGTCGAGAAACTTTTCAACCACACTAATTGTAATATACTGCAAACCTGTTCCCAGCATGAAGAATGACTTTGTTTCAAAAAAACAGGCGGTGCATCTTTCTAGTTGTCTAGATCGGAGTTGTTGTTCATACAAAATGCTCAATTACTATATGCAAATTTCTTTCGTGTTTCATTCTTTTTTGATATTGAAAAGGTATTGTTATGTACCCAAAGGAATCTGCGTCGGACTTCAATTCATGGTGTGAATAATTTTCTGCTTCATGAAACATGTTAGTCTTCACAGTATCCTATTTAACCACTATTTAGAATACTTTAACTGCTCAAAGCCTCTTTTCCTTTAATCTGTTACAAGGAAATCAGTGTCACTAAGAGTCAAGAGTTAGAACAAGTTAACATTTTTAGTTTTGGAGATCCATTTTATGTAAGGAACAGTTTCTGTTTGTTTTGTAGCCACACAGATGTGTTCCGTTTTACAGAACCACTCCCCAGGACTGGCTGATTCTGCAAAGTGTAGAATGAGAATTGCTTTTGGATTTGGGACCGCGATGGGGGAAAGAAGCCTGCCATATATGCAACGATCACGTGGTTGTGATCTTCCCCAAATTACTGAGCAAAGTGCAAGCTTGGAATCCAGTTATGACAGACACACTGGTTCGCAAAGCTGATAGAATGCTCTCCAGTACCAAAGAAATAGCAGGCGATCTTCAGGTTAGACAGAAAGAGAGACAGGGAGACCCCACTACATTGTTAAATTTTTATTTATTTATTCACAGGCTGAGGGTGTCGTTGACCAGGAAGCTTTTATTGCCCATCCCTAATTGCCCAGTGTCAACGACATTACTGTGGGTCTGGACTCACACGTAGGCCAGACCAGGTAAGGATGATAGTTTCCTTCCCTAAAAGGACATTAATGAACCAGATGGGTTTTTTTTAAAAAACAGTCATCACTAGATTCTTAATTCCAGATATTTATTGAATTCAAATTCCACCACCTGCCATAGTGGGATTCAAACCCAGGTCCCCAGAACATTATCTGGGTCTCTGGATTAACAGTCCAGTGATAATACCACTAGGCCATCACCTCCCCTTTCCATGCACCACTTCCTAACATTTTCAAATTGAAACCAAATATGTGCTGAGCAACTGGGCCGCCAGTGTGGAGGAGGGACCCTTGCACAGGGCAACCTGCAGCTGAAGCCAGGCAGGTGGGGTTTTCTCCCAAGCAGCCAAGGTTCGAAGGCAGATTGGAAAACTCCAGATCACCTTTGACAACGGGGCCTTGAAGAGTCTTAAACTAGCTGAGAGTGGGTAGCCTTGTTGGTACCATTCCCTCCTCTCCTGCCAGAAAGCCCCTCTCAGAAAAATATCCCGGGAGTGGGGTGATGCTGGAAACGGTACATTGACAGGCAGTGAGGCATTGCTCACTTATCCACTCCCACTGGGGCCTAAACATCAAGGCCATAAAAGATAACTTCAGTCTAGGGCAATATGAAGTCAAATTTGAAAAGTGCTTAAAGATGTTATGATGAACTAAAGTGGAATTTCGCCTTAATGCTTTGATAAAGCTGTTAAATAAGGCTATCAGCGAAAGCACCAACAAGATGGTCTTTATTCATTTACGGGATGAGGGTGCCACTGGCCAGGCAGCATTTATTGCCTATCCCTAATTGCCCAGAGGGCAGTTCAGTGTCAACCACATTGCTGTGGGTCTGGAGTCAAATGTAGGACAGACTGGGTAAGGATGGTAGTTTCCTTCCCTAAAGGACATTAGTGGCAGAGTAGCAGGGCTGAGCCTGGGGGTTCGTCCACTTCTGTCTGCTTTCTCTTTTTTCCCCTTTTCTTCTTTTCACTTTTGCTCTTTTCTTCTTAATTTTTCTTCATTCTCTTTTCTTTAAAGCCTTTTGTGGTGGCTCGGCAGCATCAGCACGGCAGCGAGAGTGGGAGCGGGCCATGCGTGGAATGGTGGCAGCCTTCCGGCAGTAGGAGGTGGCAGTAAGATCGGAGGCAGTGGCGTCCCGGGTTCCCCTAGGTGCTCAGAGGAGGCTGCAGCACGGCATTGGCAGTGAGACCGGGCCTTTGGCGTAATGATAACAGCAATAACATGGCTCCTTCCAGCATCTGGGGGGGCGGTAGTGGCAAAGGTCCTCCTGGTGATCAGAGGTGGTGGCGGCATCATCAGCGGCAACAGGCACATGGCTCTTCACGGTGATTGATGCAAGACTTTCAGGCTGACCTAAACTCCAGGCCATGGCTAAGCCCAAGTGCCTGCATCAGTGACTGAGCATTTATGGAGGTAAGACTTTAAGATGTGAATGTTTTCTTACGTTTTAGCACTTTTTTTTGTTTTTTTTTAAA